GTCATCTTTCTGTGGTGAATTTAGAAGCCCAAAGTGCTTAGAGGCTGAGAACCTCAGGCTTGTCTATGTGTTTCTAGAAATAACAAGAGGAGGATGACCCCATACTGCAAACAGTAGTCTCCTGGCCTCAGTGACACCTTCCAGACCTCAACTCTGTGGGAACAGTATGGCTGCTGTGTCTTCCTTTCTTGATTCTGGCTAGGAGATTAACCTGTTAGAAAGTCTGTCACATTCGTTAAAATTCAAAAGTGCAAAATGAATCATGACTGCAACTTCACATTTTGTGCCCTGTGCAATTGAGAGTGGTTTGACACAAAATCAGTGTCATCAGTCCTCACCTTCCCGTCTTTGTTGGAAATTCAGTTGTCTGGAATCCTTCGAGCTATACCTTAGGTAAAAATCATTTGAACACTGTCTCCTTCAATTGTGTTTATAGGAGCCGTTTCTGGTTGTGCCCTAGTCATTGTCGGAGCTGATACAGTCTCATGACACATCCCAGGAGTTTTATCCTAAAAAGCAAAACACATTTGCCTTAAATCTATAATGTGAATTTCTACCTCTTTCTTCTGTGGGACATAATGACTCTGTGTCCTGTAGTATGATTAAATTCAGAATTCCCCATGAATTAAAATAAACACATCTTAGCTTTGTAGACATTCACAAGTAACTTGTTCCTCACAGCATTCCCCTGCAAGATTCCATGCATCCTCCACTCCCCAGAGGTCCTTGAGGCCTTTGACAGCACTTCAAGAGGGAAGACTCCTTTCTCAGGGAGACGAGGAGAGGGTCAAAGTGAGGGGCTGGCTGTAAAACTTCTCCCCAGGAGTGGCTGCGATTCCATGAGCAGAATATGAGCCGTTTGTTTGCACGCATGTTTTCTTTTCTTAATATACCAGAGAGCAACTGGAGTCACCATAGAGGAGGGATGCAGGGTGAACCTGGACATGGACATCTGCCTGTCTGGAGAATGCTACTTTATTAGTATGTAATTACCTCTGTTAATCTTCTAGGACAGCACCCTTGCCATCTGACTTTCATAGACATGGCAGTGATGTGTGGTGACAGCAGTTTCACTGCTTGGATCTACTACCCCAAGCATAGGTGGTCCCCAATGGCAAGGACAGAGTTTTCAGGTACTGATGCTACTCTCTTGGATCCTGATGACAGAGAAGGTGGCAGATGCTAACACCTTCTTCTCTGGGATTCAGCTCCTTTTGGTATTGGTTCTCTTGTCTGGCAAATGCACATACGTGTCACTTCTGTTCTGCAGGGCAGTGTGGATCTATGGGAACCTCCTCCATTAACTGGAAGATTCTACACACCCTACTCTGGAGGCCCCCTGATGGGCTTCTGGGTACATCCACTTTAGGGACCACCCTGAACCCCTCCACCTGTGACACTTGGTAAGATCCTACTTGATCTGGGCAGTAGGAGTTGACTTGCAAAGCACGCTCATCTTATTTTCATTGGCGTTGGATCTTTGGCCAAAGTGCAGAGGTGGTACCACAGACCATTGCTATGCAAGGGAAATATGTCTGCCACGATTACCACATTCCTCAAGTCTCTCACAATTGAAAGATCATCTTTGTCATGCGTTGCTACAGGTGTCTCTTGTGGAGAAGGAATGGGGCTGTATGCAGAAAGCAGACATAGTGGTTCAGCAGAACTGCCCTGTACCCCATCCATATGCTGAGTACTGTGAGGCATGAGGCACAGCCTAACATCTATCCATCTAGTTGCACCCCCAGCCATCCATAGTCGTTCGATGAGTGATGTATTACTACATCTGAATCAGGGCTTTTAGGGGTCTTCATCAAGTTATAAGGGATGGTTCTTCAAGTTCTTCCTGGGGATCACCTGAGGCATGTGGGATACCCTCTGCATTTGATTTGGGATCTGACTGGAGCCAAGAGTTTACGTTGTCTGAGGAACGAGGGGAGGGTTTTTTGCTTTTGAATCTCCAAACAGTCTACTCAAATCAGAATAAACATCCATCCTTTCTAGGGCCTTTAGCAGATCCAGAAGCCGGTGTCACTCCTGAGAGTGCCACAAATACTTACTGTACCCAAACTGCTAAGAAGCACAAGGTAAATGCTGCGGCCATTTTCAGTTGTAAGTCTTTCCAGACACCCACATCTTACTGTACAGCACACTCTCCTACCACGGTCTCTGGTTTGTGTGTCATACGCTATGTCTGCTGGGGTTTTTTTCCAAATGCAAAACCTTTACCCTTGAGTCTACAGATTTCCCTGTTTTCCACCTGGCATCTCTTTTTGGTAAGTTTAGAAGCTAACTGTGCTTAGGGGTGAGGACCTTAGGGTCTTCCCAATGTGTTACTGGAATAAATCAGGGAGGACGATAACACACTCTACTTGGAAGTCTCCGGGATTGCCTTATTCTTTCTAGACCTCCTCAGTGTGGAATCATCACTCTTGCTGTTTCTTCTATTCCTGTTTCTGTCAAGCATTTTAATGTGTTCAGAAAAATCTGGATCTCCTTACAATTTGAAAATGTAAACTGCTTTCTTTCCAACTTATATTTTCGTATGTGTCATTTAGAGTGGCCTTTGAGAAAGGAAATTTCATACACATCAACATCCCATCTTTTTTTGGTAAACGTGCTGTCCAGAATCCCTTCAGGTGTGCCCTGGGTATAAATACCCTGAACTCTATAAGATGACATATTTGTCATAGAAAACATGCACCAAAACTTAACTTGTGAAGAGAAAAAAAATCCAAAATTACCTGTGTGGCAAGTCCCCACCTTGTCCTTCACTTGTGTTCACATGATCAGGTTCTGTAGTGTCCTTTGTCACAGATACAGCTAAAACATGGAAATTTACACCAGAAATCAAAGTGCATTTGTGTTCATTTTGGTATTTAGAATTTCAACTCATTTTTCCAGAGGACACAATCATCCTGTAAATTGTACTGTACTTAGGCCAAGAAGTACTTCTGTATGAAAATGCTTTAGCTGAACCCAACTAACAGGTATAGGTTACCTGTTTCTCTAAGAGCATGCTTTTCCAGGTCTTCTGCTGGATCTCAGGATCCCCATCACCCTGTGTGTCTCTGGGCCCATGGATAGTGCTTCCAGAGAGGAAGAGACCCCAATGGCAGGAGAGGAGCACATTGGGCCCAGGTGGGAGCTCAGAGGCAGAGCTTTGAGCCACAAGGGCTATGATTCCATGTGTGGAGACTGGGATTTTCATCCTTTCTCATTCTGTAATTCTTCACATACAAATAAGCAGTCTCTGAAGTGGAGGGGAAGGAGGGGTAGAGGGCGATCCTGGACTTAGATGCCTTCCTATCTGGAATATGCTAGTTTGTTAATTTGGTATTAAGTCCCTAAATCTACTAGGAAAAGACCGCTTGCTGTTCTACATTTCCAGACATGTGGGACACTAGTTTATCCCAATAACATCCATTTGCCACCCCAAAGCTGTAAGCGGAACCCAAAGTATGGGTAGAGATTTTGGTGTGGATACTGCCCTCTTTGAACCTGGTGGTGGGGAAACTGGCAGGAGATGAACACTGCTTCTTTGGGTTTCTGCTCTTTGCCAGTGTCAGTGCTTTGTTCTGTCTATTCCGCAGGCTATTATGTATGCAAGAGGGCCTGGTCCTGTCCCTGGATCGCCTTGCAGGCCCTACTGCAAGGACCGCTCTTCATCACCAATCACGGACTATATGGGCTATCTCCCCTTCCTCCACTTAACTCTATCTGTTAAGATGACCTGAACTGAATGAGTGACTGGTAAAGCATATTCATCTTCTTTGTGAAAGCCTTGGTGGGAACGACGTAGAGATGGTTGTGAGTCTTGGCATGTAAACTGCCAACTTGCCTGAGGACATTGAATATACCTCAAGTTTCCCAGGACACACATACAATGGGTGGTGCCACTTCCCCGTATGAAGGTGAGCTATAGGTTTCTCTGGTCAAAATGAAAGGGAGTTTTTACACAAAAGCAGAAGTATCAGCAGTACTGGTGGGTATTTTGGAGACACAGTGTTTTGAGTTCTGTAAAGAATTGAGGCACACCCATAACTTTTAATGCCCCAGGGGTCCTGTGTGAAAGAGGGATACATGCATTAAGTTACTCAGACCCTGTGATCACCATAATCGAAGTACCAGTGAAGGAATTGGAGAAACCTGAATCACTCAGGAATAGAAGGGAAGTCGAGAATAGTAAGCAGAGTTTGAGGAGGTGCAGAGGGGAGGGGATTGGGGTCAGTGAAATTCCTGGGCCAGCCTGAGCAGGGAGTGTGAGGTCCACACAGCAGGTCTGATCACTCTCAGTGCACAATGCAACGTTCATCTCTGAAATGTCAGTGTTGCCAAAGTGGACCTAGGCAATCATCTAAAAAGATTGTTGAGTCCCTGGGTTTTCTGAAGGTTCTGGATTGTCGTGGGGGGGGGGAATGGCATGGAGAGATGGGAAATTTAACTTGGTCTTCTGAAAATGCTTGTCTGCCCAAATTCATATCCCTCAGTGAGACAGGATCTAGATCAGCTGAGTGCCTGCATTGACCTTCAGCCTGGGTCAACCTGCAATTCAGGGTTGGCCAGAAGATGACCCCTGTCATCACCCTGACTACAGCTTTCCATCTCCTCCAACATCTCCCACAATTTCCTGAGGCTTTGCCTGTGTTCCTGCTATCTCAGCCCTAATACTAGCTCTCAGTGGGACCTACTTAGAGCCTCAGCTGTGAAATAGGGGTAATATTTGTTTCTTAGGACATTATGAAAAGAAGACATTAAATACATAAAGTGTCCACTCACCCATCTCACAGTTTCAATTAACGTATCTCCACATGATGATCATCAAAAAAAGAGGTTCACGGATATTCATTCAATGAAGAGTGTTAACACCTCAGCCCAGGGACTGGGAATTGCTGTTTGAAATGATAAGACAAAGACCTTCATTTTTTATTAAAATTCATGTTTTACTAGACAAAGAAAGAAAAGATAATTATGAGAATGTGTACATTCAGAGATCTACATCTGAGAGCTAAACACAATCATTTTCCATTACATGCAGCCACACATGAAAGTGTTCATCTGAGGCAGATAAAGTATAGAAGACAGAATGCATGTAGGAAAACATAAGATCATAAGGAAATAAACCAAAATCTCTTACATCCCACTGAGTTTGAAATTTGAAGAGGACTGTGCAAGGTGAGAGACTATGGTGATTATATATTTTAAAAAGGTGTCAGATCTGCCTGAATGTTTTCCCTGCCCATCCTGCCCCCTCCACTTTGTCCTTCCTATGGCCCCTAGTACACCTTTCACTGCTCTTTCTCTGTGTCAGCATCTGCTTCTAGGAGGACTTAGTCTCCTCACTGCAGACAGCGGGGTTCCTGTACACACAGGGAACAAACTGACAGAAATGGGGGTGATGGAGGATAGTAGCAAGATCACCCTTTGTGCAGGGGAGCCCAAGGGAGTTTTATGGGGTGGCAGGAACTTCTTATACCTATATTTAAGGGGTGTTTGTGCTCATTTATCAGAGAAATATTCACTGATTCCCTGGTGCCTCAGGGTCAGACAGACAGGTGTCTGTCTCTAGGATATGGCTGACTTCTAATGGTGGGTAAGGATGAGGGACCAGCAGTGACTGTGGGAGATGACATGTGTGAGGAGGCCACACATGGAGTCAGACCCTGGCCCAGGAGGACAGCTCTCCCCACACAGCACCATGTGCAGGAGGACTCTAAGGACCAGAGATATCTTCATAAGTACAGTGAACTCCAAAATCCTCCTCCAAATTCCTCACTGAGGGATGGCCAGGGCACAGGCCAGCAGCTGGAGGACACCCTGATCATGGCTTGAGTGGAGCAGTGGGCCTGGGGGATTGAGTCAGAGAAAGAGACAGGCAGAAGGTAGGGACAGGGAGTTTGAGAGACGAAGGGAAGGGAAGGGAGGAGAATGGACTTTTCTCTATCGGCCTCACCTACATTTCTGTGTGAACAGAAGAAAATTCTTTCTCCAAGGGTGGGAAAGAGGTCTGGCAAAAAGATAGAGTGACATTCTCAGCTCAAGTACTGAAGATATCTAACTTGCTCCTGAATACCTAACACAGGAAGCCCGTGCTTTGTGTCATAATTGGAACTGCAGCTCGTGCCATTTAGTGAAAACTCAATTATGAAGCCCCCATCATTAATGTAACGCAGCAAAGTTATATGAACAGTGATACAATAGAGGAAAAAGTCCAAAAGTAGAATGAATACAGTACTCACAGGAATACAGACTATTGGGAAAGGAGGTACTACAATGGAGGCATTCAGACACCTGAGCAATATCTGAAAACATAAAAAAAAAAAAATTGATCCCTACCTCAAAAGAAACATTAACATTAGACACAAACGGATCGTGATTTAAGGTTTAGAGAGAAACTGTATGACTTCATGGTGCTATATCCATGAGATCAAGTGTCATCAAAGTATACCCTTTCACTTGGGGCTCTTTGTTATGGGTAAATTATACCTTTTTTTATGTTTTATTTATTTCTAGGAGAGAGAGAGAGAGACAGCATGAGCAGGGGAGGGTCAGAGAGAGAGGGAGTCACAGACTGAAACAGGCTCCAGGCTCTGAGCTGGCAGTCAGCACAGAGCCCGACGCGGGGCTCGAACCCATGAACCGCAAGATCACAACCTAAGCAAAGGTCGGACGCTTAACCGACTAAGCCACTCAGGCGCCCCAATTATACCTTATTAAAGATAGTTTTGAAACATGAAATACTAGAAGAAAATGTGGGAAAATTCCTTTCTAATCCTGAAGTGTATGGGAGATCAGAGTCTGTCTGCATATCTCAAAAATAAAAAAAAATTAAGACATTTAAAAAATTGTAATAGCACAGTAGGAGGACCCTAAGCTCACCCTGCCCCATGTTTTCAACTACATAACATCCACATCCAAGTCCATAAACCAGAGAACAATCCAAAGATTGGCAGGACAAACTCCACACTCCACAGACAGAAGCTGTATCTCAAGGGTTAGGAAGGTCAGAAAGGTAGAGGGCACCTGACTGCAGAGAAGGCAGAGAAAGTGAGCCCTCACCCCAGGATGCTCACACAGGGAAGACTAATCCCCATAACATTACGCTTTAAAAACTAGAAGGGCTGAATTCCTTGAGTGTGGATCCTGGAGTTCAGCAGGTCAGCTGACTCAGCACTGGGTGATCCAGGAGGGTGAGTGAGAGCCACGTCCTTGCCTGTGTGGAGAGGCAATGTAAACATGGCAGTTTACACTATGCCAGAGGCAAGAGGAGACTGATGTGTTCATGCTGATTTGTGAGTGGTTGGGTGTCTTCTCCAACAATGAGGGAGCTCACAGGCACCAGTTTTCTACCTACTCCCCAGAATAAGCAAAGAAGCACCTACGGGGCGGCGGGGGGGGGGGAGGTCTAGGGCTGCACAGACCCAGACCTTTGCTACCAACCAGCTAGAAGTCTGACTGTCCCAAGAGATCTCTGGGGGACTCATCCACTCCAAACCTGCTGGGCTCAGGGAAAACTTTATTAAAACCACATGGGCACCCCGTCCAGCTTGCTGCATGCAAAGCTGCCACAGCACATTGTGCACATCTGCACCTCACCCAGCTGAGCACTGCCAGCCAACCTCCTATGTCTCATCCAGCCACATGTTCCCAGCCACCGATGCACTCTGTGCATAGCCTCGAGCCCCTGGATGCCCTGGTGCAGAGCCGCCAGCCACCAAAGGACAGCTACAGACTTGTCAACAGAATCTTAGCAAGCCAGAAGCGAGTGCCCTAACCTATTCAAAGTGCTGACGGAAAAATCAGCAGCCAAGAATATTCTATCCAGCAAGGCTATCATTCAGAATAGAAAGAGACCTAGAGTTTCCCAAACAAAAACTAAAGGAGTTGGTACCACTAAATCAGTCCAGCAAGAAATATTAAGACGGACTCTTTGAGTGGAAAAAAGAGACCAAAAGTGGCAAAAGAGAAGTAGAAAACACAAAACCAGTAAAAAATGATTATTTCTGTAAAAAACCAGTCAAGAAACTGAAAAAATAGATATAAAATATAATATGCACAAAACCAGAGGGGGGAGAAAATAATGGGTCCAAAGCTAAATGACTATCAATTTAATAAAAACTTCTAAAAGCAAATGAATTATATAAAAACCTAATGGTGACCATATACCAAAAATCACAAATACATATGCAAAGAATAAGGAGAAAGAAATAAAAAATCATCACTAAGGAAATCAGAGGCTGGGCCTTGAAACGAAACACTAAGCCTGACCACTCACTTCCCCTACTCCCTACACTCACCCATCAAGGGAGATCACTACACTGCTGGTTGAAGATCCTGTATCATCCTGGGATCTTACTCTAACCCTAACTCTGACCCTGATGCTAAACCTAAAGCAAACCCTACACCTACCCTCACTCTAAACATGACCCTACACCTGACCGACACAAGTGCATGGCCCCTCATTTCAGACCACATGGGAGATCATGGGACTGGCGTGGCTTCTGCCCTGGAGACTAACCTGGACAGAAGGCTAACCCTAACCGAGGCTCTCTCCACTTGGAGACCCAGTCACTATGTGTCTGAAATAAACAGAAACGGGGCCCCAGAAGTGGTGCAGGCTTAATCAGCATGGAACATAGAACACAACCATGACATTAACAACTCTGATCGAGGTGCATAAGGGCTGCCCTGAGGAGCAACAGTAGTCTAGCCCACAGAGGAGGCTAGGACTTGAACTCAAACACTAAGCCTGACCGGCAACTGCCCTGCACCCTCAGCTCAGCTCTCCTGGGAGATCACGGCACTGCTGCCTGATTAGAAGCTGGATCGTCTTGGGATCTAACTCTCACCCTAACCCTAAACCTAATCCTAACCCTACCGCTAACTTTCACTCTAAACGTGACCTTACACCTGAGTCGCATCGGGCATGGGCCCTCATTTCAGACCATAAGGGAGATCACAGGGCTGGTGTCACTTCTGCCCTGGCGACTCCCCTGGATGGAACCCTAATCCTAGCCAAGGCTGTCTCCCCTTGGGGACTCAATTCCTAGGTCTCAGAAAACCAGGGATATGGGGCCCAGAAGTGGTGCAGGATGACTCGGTGTGGAACATGGAACTTCACCATGCCGTTTTCAAGCCCGGATGGAGCTGCATGAGGGGTGTCCTGAAGCCCAGTTTTAACCTAGATCAAAGAGAAGGCTGGCCTTGGAACCCAAAGCCTAAATCAGACTGGCATCCTCCCATGTGTCCTCAGCTAAGCCTTCTGGGTAAAGCACTGCACTGCTGGGGGTTCTCAACTGGAGCCTCCTGGGACTGAATCCTAACCCTAAGCATAACCCTAAAGCTAACCCTAACCCTAACATTAATCCTCACCCTAAACATAACCTTACACCTGACCCGCACCTGCACTAGTGCCCTCACTTCAGCCCTCCAGGGAGATCACAGGGTTGGTGTCGCTTCTGCCCTGGTGACCCTACCCCCAGCCAAGGCACTCTTTCCATGGGGACCTATATACTAGTTCTGAAAACAGACAGACAGGGGGCTCAGAAGCAGTGCAGGCTTAGTCAGCATGGAACGTGGAACATCACCATGACATTAACAAAGCTCAGATCAAGCAGCACAAGGGGTGTCGGGAGGGGCAACTGAGCCTGGCTCACAAAGGAGGCTGTGCCTTGAACCCAAACACTAAGCCTGACTGTCAACTTCCCCTATGCCCTCAACTCAGCCCTCCAGGGAGATCAGTACATTGCTATCTGATTAGATCCTGGATCGCCCTGGGATCTTATTCTAACCCTAATCTTAAACCTAAACCTAACCCCTCCCACTTATTTTAAACATGAGCCTACACTAGAGCGGCACCCTTGATTGTGCCTCACTTCAGCCCTCCAGA